ATGTATTCTCATAATTCGTTTTGCTTGCTTAACAATCAGATTCAAGTCCTTTCTCTAATACTTCTCATCTCTTCCTCTAAAGAAAATGGCTCAGATGCATTTGGAACACCATGTTGTGTCTTGACTTAGCAATTTTGTAATATATTGCAGTTAGAAACAGACTGGTAAGTCTTTAAACATTTTAGATTGTATAATCCTTAAAAAAAAAAGGGACTTCAGAATAATTCCCCTAATGTATGTTCAATTGTTTTTTCATTTACTTATAAATTTTATGTATCATAAATATATTGGCAAATATATATTTACTATATAGTAAAATATCCACAAAAATTAAATTTTAAAATGACATTGAGTAAAATACACTTTTGGAAAAATTTATTAACAAAATAAAAGCTTTTCTCCTCACTAAAAATTATTGAAAAATAAGCTAATCTATGATATATAGGCATATTATTAACATTTGGTTACCATAATTTTATTACCCTTGATATTGCTCAGTTGTCCTTTCAAAGTAATCAGAAACTGCTACGTTTTCATATTTTTTAACAAATGGATTCAAAATTCACTGAATTCTCAATTGAACTATTCAAAGTAGTTTTTTTAACTACTCAAAAAACAGCAAATTGTTTCCAAGTTTTTTTAGGCAGTTTTTTATAGGTGACAAACGTATGTAACTTTAAGCAAGAAAACAAAAGCAAAAACAAAACATACACACACAGTAAAGGCAGCATCTTGACATTTTTATTTTCAAATATTCTCTTCACAGCACTTTCTCAGTGTTATATGTTATCTTTACCTTGGAAAAAGAACCCTGTGATTTTTTTCAGAAAAATACATTAGGTAAAATAGCACTAAGAGCCACATATCATTACAGAAAAGATCAGCAAATTTAGAACACTTGGGATTTTTTTGCTAAAAAAAAGAAAGATTAAAAAATACTCACTTTTATCTTTTTTAATAGATAACTCTTTAACTCTGTTGCAAATGATCTTTCACAATCATTCACCATCACACTACACAGTAATGTTAAGATTCCACAATTTCAAAGATCTGTTTTCATCAGATTATTCACATAAATTGCTTCAGTATGTAAACTACAATATGTCACAGTCTCATAAAAGCATATTCAACATCTCCAAAATTGGGAGATGTTGTGTGCCTACTGCTCAGACAATAAGGTAGAGTATGTTGGCTGTGCACATGCTAAGCAAACCTGGGTTGGTTTTAGTGGACTGGAAGAATATCCCAGAGACAAGAGTGGAACATTCTTCTGAGAAATGCTGTCTAATTAACACTTTTGTATCACTAAGGGTGACATTGGGTGAAACAAGTGATCAGAAGTATTGGTCTCAATGTGAAATAATTTAACCAATTTATTTGTTGTGCTTATATTTTCCTTTTTTTTAAATGAACAAGAGTGATAGGTAATAAACATACTTGTCTAAATAAATCTAACAGGAATATTTGAATAAATGAAATTTTAATTTAGTATGTTCTAAGTAATAAAGTATGTCATAGTTTATGTAACAGTTCATTTTTTACTGGTATATAAAAATGGTATGTCTTAGAATTGATGAATTCCTAGATTCAATGAAATACTGGCACAATTTTTCTGTCATCTCCTCTGCCTTTTATGTAGTTTTTCCTGTTCCCTCAAATCCCCATTCATATAGAACGTGGAACCTGATAGAATCCGAACCTGAGTACCATCTTTCTGATAAGCCCACCCACCAACACAGACCTGGGTGTCATCTTCCCTAGGCTACGAGCATCCTCCAGAGGTTACATCAGCAAGCCACAAGCCCACCTTTCCCCTGGCCCCTCCCCTCAAAGGGCCCGTCAAAAACCCTGGCCATAAAAAGCCCCTTGACCTGTTAGAGAACCCCTTTCCTTTGTTCTATTGGCCAGGACGGAGGGGTCCCTCTCAGGTTCAGCAATAAACCTGCTTGGACTGTTGAGTTCACCTCCCTTCTCTTCTTTCAGGACCACTGACGGTAGATGTCACGCATCTGTTAAATGTTACATTCTTTCTTATTTTTTAGATGGCAAACACGAATGAAAGTTCTATTTTCTTCCCACACCCCCAGTCTTGCTCACAGCCCGTTCTGGAGACCACAGTACGAGGGTGTGGTAAGAGGTGGGCAGTCCGGAGAGGGTCAATCGCTAAAAACGGCCATGCATCTACTAAGGAAACTCCCCAGATATTAAAAGAAGATGGAGGAGAAGAAGGAAGAGAAAGGAGAAAAGAAAATACAAAGGTCTCTACAGGTGGTGAGAATCCATATGGAAGAGTCACGGATTTGCTAACAAAAACTACATACGATTTTTTATTTTTTTTATAACTCATGAAAGTTTTGAAGAATCAAGACCACCCATCACCTATAACCTTGGTTGACCAAAAAGAATGAGATCTCTCCAAGTGAGTTAATGCAACTCAATAAATATATGGTTAGTACCTGTCCTCTGTCATGCACTGTGCTAGCTGGAGGTAAGAGAGCAAACAAGATCGATATGATCCTTGCACTCAATGGAGTTTGCAATACAGGAGGATGCAGGGACAATAAGAGAATCTCTTCTATCAGTAACTATTAGCAACAAGTTTTTCCTCAATATTTAACCCTAAACTGAATGATATACTGATGGACTTAGAAAATGATAATTTCTCTATGTAATATATAGTTTTATATAATATTTATGTAAGATTGGTCATCTGACATATTTGCATGTAGGAAAAAGAAGAGAATAATAAAAGCTATCGTTGTTGCCTGCATTTTCATGTATTCTCATAATTCGTTTTGCTTGCTTAACAATCAGATTCAAGTCCTTTCTCTAATACTTCTCATCTCTTCCTCTAAAGAAAATGGCTCAGATGCATTTGGAACACCATGTTGTGTCTTGACTTAGCGATTTTGTAATATATTGCAGTTAGAAACAGACTGGTAAGTCTTTAAACATTTTAGATTGTATAATCCTTAAAAAAAAAAGGGACTTCAGAATAATTCCCCTAATGTATGTTCAATTGTTTTTTCATTTACTTATAAATTTTATGTATCATAAATATATTGGCAAATATATATTTACTATATAGTAAAATATCCACAAAAATTAAATTTTAAAATGACATTGAGTAAAATACACTTTTGGAAAAATTTATTAACAAAATAAAAGCTTTTCTCCTCACTAAAAATTATTGAAAAATAAGCTAATCTATGATATATAGGCATATTATTAACATTTGGTTACCATAATTTTATTACCCTTGATATTGCTCAGTTGTCCTTTCAAAGTAATCAGAAACTGCTACGTTTTCATATTTTTTAACAAATGGATTCAAAATTCACTGAATTCTCAATTGAACTATTCAAAGTAGTTTTTTTAACTACTCAACAAACAGCAAATTGTTTCCAAGTTTTTTTAGGCAGTTTTTTATAGGTGACAAACGTATGTAACTTTAAGCAAGAAAACAAAAGCAAAAACAAAACACACACACAGTAAAGGCAGCATCTTGACATTTTTATTTTCAAATATTCTCTTCACAGCACTTTCTCAGTGTTATATGTTATCTTTACCTTGGAAAAAGAACCCTGTGATTTTTTTCAGAAAAATACATTAGGTAAAATAGCACTAAGAGCCATATATCATTACAGAAAAGATCAGCAAATTTAGAACATTTGGGATTTTTTTGCTAAAAAAAGAAAGATTAAAAAATACTTTTATCTTTTTTAATAGATAACTCTTTAACTCTGTTGCAAATGATCTTTCACAATCATTCACCATCACACTACACAGTAATGTTAAGATTCCACAATTTCAAAGATCTGTTTTCATCAGATTATTCACATAAATTGCTTCAGTATGTGAACTACAATATGTCACAGTCTCATAAAAGCATATTCAACATCTCCAAAATTGGGAGATGTTGTGTGCCTACTGCTCAGACAATAAGGTAGAGTATGTTGGCTGTGCACATGCTAAGCAAACCTGGGTTGGTTTTAGTGGACTGGAAGAATATCCCAGAGACAAGAGTGGAACATTCTTCTGAGAAATGCTGTCTAATTAACACTTTTGTATCACTAAGGGTGACATTGGGTGAAACAAGTGATCAGAAGTATTGGTCTCAATGTGAAATAATTTAACCAATTTATTTGTTGTGCTTATATTTTCCTTTTTTTTAAATGAACAAGAGTGATAGGTAATAAACATACTTGTCTAAATAAATCTAACAGGAATATTTGAATAAATGAAATTTTAATTTAGTATGTTCTAAGTAATAAAGTATGTCATAGTTTATGTAACAGTTCATTTTTTACTGGTATATAAAAATGGTATGTCTTAGAATTGATGAATTCCTAGATTCAATGAAATACTGGCACAATTTTTCTGTCATCTCCTCTGCCTTTTATGTAGTTTTTCCTGTTCCCTCAAATCCCCATTCATATAGAACGTGGAACCTGATAGAATCCGGACCTGAGTACCATCTTTCTGATAAGCCCACCCACCAACACAGACCTGGGTGTCATCTTCCCTAGGCTACGAGCATCCTCCAGAGGTTACATCAGCAAGCCACAAGCCCACCTTTCCCCTGGCCCCTCCCCTCAAAGGGCCCGTCAAAAACCCTGGCCATAAAAAGCCCCTTGACCTGTTAGAGAACCCCTTTCCTTTGTTCTATTGGCCAGGACGGAGGGGTCCCTCTCAGGTTCAGCAATAAACCTGCTTGGACTGTTGAGTTCACCTCCCTTCTCTTCTTTCAGGACCACTGAGGGTAGATGTCACGCATCTATTAAATGTTACATTCTTTCTTATTTTTTAGATGGCAAACACGAATGAAAGTTCTATTTTCTTCCCACACCCCCAGTCTTGCTCACAGCCCGTTCTGGAGACCACAGTACGAGGGTGTGGTAAGAGGTGGGCAGTCCGGAGAGGGCGGAGGAAGAATATCTCTGAGGAAAGTTCTCTAATTAGTGTCAAAAAAGTGCCACTTCTCTGTGGCTGTGAAAACCGCGAACACGGTTTTGTCGTGCGTATCATACTGTGGCTCATAACTTACCACACCAGCTCAGTCGGTCCTCGTTCCTTCTTACGAGACGGGCTTCATTCCCCGCACTTGACCGGAGGGGAAGCGGGGAGCGCAGCGATAGTCACTGGCGCACGGCGACCCGGGCGCAGCCCCGCGGCGGCGGAGCCCCCTGCGGCCCGCCCGGCCTCCCGTCGAGGCCGCAGGCAGCGCTGCGCCTCCGCCCGGCGTCCCGGCCGCCGCCGGGCCCCGCTCACCGCCGCGCCCACCCCCGGGGTCCGCCAGGCGCGTGCGGCGGGCCCAGGGCCCAGCGCCCAGGGCGGGAGCCTGCGGCGACGCCCGGAGCGCCCACGGCTGGCGCGACACGCGCCCGGGAGCAGCCGGTCGGCGCCGGCCCGGCCGCGGCCCGCGGGCCGGCGACGCGCAGTGAGCGCCCCGTGGCTCAGGTGAGGTGCGGGCGGCGGGACCAGGGCCGAGTGGAGGGACGTACACCTCCACGCCTCGCTTCTCTGCGGGGCCTTGGGTGGCGGCCTCTCCTCATCTAGGGCCTCGGTTCCAGCGCGCTGATGTTCACCCGACGGGGCTGGGTTGAGGATTGGCCGGAGGGAGGGGAGCGGGCGTTCAGGTGAGCCTCCCAGGCGCTCCCTGGGCGGGAGCGGAACGGTGGGTGTGCGAGGAAGCCAAGGGTTGGTGTCTGGAAAAGCGCAGAGGGCATCCATCCCTCAGCATCCAGCCTAGGTTCAGGCCCACGGGCGTGACTCGGGCCTGAAAACGAACCTTCTGTCAGTAAGGTATGGAGGAGCCTTACTTAGTCTTTAATGGGGCTGAGCTGCCCATTTCTCGACAGCACTTCCCGTATGGCCTCTGTAGACAGAGCCGGAGTCCTTCCCGGCCAGGTACCACCGGAATGCTCAGCCTCCGTTTTCTCATCTGAAATGTTCTTTGGAAAGGCCATTCTCAACCTGGTTAAGAGGCACTAAATATAATGCATTGTAAATGATTAAGTATCCATATGATCAGATATAGAGCTTAGAAATAATACCCAAAAGCATACAAAAAGACTTCTCTGGTTTTTCTAAGGAAGAGGACAAAATTAGTCTATCCTTTATTTTAACTCTGGATAATTATTACAATCCCCTAGTATATATCCTGTGTAGATAAAAAAATTTTGTTAAGCAGGGACAGTGTACCTGGCCCTTGGGTGTACATTGTTATGCTATATAATTCTTTAAAAATCCAGTGAAGTGGTTATTAGTATTCCCATTTTACAGATGTGGAGGCAATTTTCACATTTTCACAGAGATAGCCAGTTACAGGTTTCTGGTTCCAAACTCTGTGCTTCTTTCCTTTTCACCTCTGGTTCCTAACACTATATTCACCTCCACTTGGGCAAACAAACCTTAGATTCTCATTTCCCATTAATACAGAATGGTACAGTGCTCTATTTCTCTGTCCAGCATACAACTGAAAGGACTTTAATGGCTACGAGTTGACACGCACCTCCCCAATTTTAATGAAATCCACAATTCATTGCTATCACTTCCTTAGGCAAGAAAAGTTCTAGAAGCGCTTGCAACATTCTTGTGTCATGTGTTATGTTTCTTGAATGTCATGATATTTACATAGAATGGTAAATTCCAAAAGTTTGGCAAGCTCTGAAAATTTCCTGTTTTAGAATGAGTTCTAATGTGAAAATAATCCTAAAGCACATGTAAGATTTTTATGGGAGAAGAATCCTCTAAGTACAGTAGATGTTTGACATCATTTCTCAATTATGGACTTATTTTTGTATTACTGCACCTGCTTTGTTCTCTTGCCAATAATTTGTCATCTTTGTAATTACACTCAGAGCTCTGCTCTCAACTTCTACATGTAAATTTGTACAGACTAACCTGAGAAGAAAGCCAAATCCCAAAGAAGACTTGTCCAGGTTCCTTTGTTCTTGCAACCTTGTGGTGCTCTTTGCTATAAAATAATAACAATGATTTTTTAAAGTACAAATATACTGAACACCTGTTATGTTCAACACATTGTGCTGGTCAATGTAGTGAATATAAGAAATGTAAGTCCCATTCACTGTAGTGAATATAAAATAAAATGTAAGACCTAGTTCCTTAAGAACTTGAAACTGTTTAGGAAGACAGTAATTATGAGAACACTTAGTATGTCATAAATAATAAGTGGCATAAAGGAGGTTTGGGATCTAGTTGTAATCAAGTTAATCTTTCAGTGGTAAGCCAGATGAGTGGGGTTAAAAGGGATGTCAAAAAGAAGGCCAACTTAATTCTTAGAATATCGTTGGAAAGTGTTACAATAAAAAAAATGATAGCAGATGATAACATTTGTTGAATTACTGCTATATACAAGGCACTGTGCTAATCCCACAGTAATCCCATGAGGTAGATGCCATTTTTATTCTCATTATACAGATGAGGAAAATCAAGCATGGAAGGTAGTTCTGATTTATCTAATTCTGAATTTACTTCTGTTTTTTCTGTATTCTCTTGATCAACTTAACAGATTCCTCCACCTGTAGGAAAAAGATATCAATAGTTACTTTTATGTAGAAGAAGACCAAATATTAACAACTGAATTATAGACTCTGCATTGTAATAAATTAAGTAAATGCCTATATAAGATTATTCCAATTAGAATCGTAATTTGTTTCTTTTGCAGCGGTATGCAAAGGAAAAGGAAAACTAAGTAAAACCTCAGGCCGAGATGCTAAGACATGGGGCTGTTGGTGTAGATACTTCAGTTGATTCTTAATTTATATAAGAAATCTTGAGGAACATTATAGAGTGGAGACCATTAGTCTTGGCCTCCCACCCCGCAGGGCGCCCCCTGTTATCTTAAGATAATTGTGAAATTCCTAGAAATTATAATGTACTTTAATATTTTTATTATTGTTAATGCCTTATAGCACTTGAAAAGACTCAGGGGTTGATGTTACAAAGTGAAACAAAACTTGCCAGGATTTTGCAATACGCAAGATCCAAAGGTACACCTGCCAACCCCCGATGCCATGTCTACAAATAGAGACTTTAAGGTTGAGGATGTCCACGGAGAGACCTTCTCAATAAACTAAGAAAGCAAAGTTAGTGAAGAGATTTTTCTCAATAAATGTTGATTGCCATTTTCCAAATAAGGAAAAAAGGCTTTAAAATGTGAATTCCTTCCAGTGGTGGTCCAGGTAGAAGTGGAGGAACTAGGAGGGCACACAGGCTCTCTGGCCCCAAACACCATGCTTGTTCCAGTACATCATCCTTCCCAACAGAAAATGGCTTCTGTTGTTTATAACTCTGGAAGGATACACAGGGTGAAAATAGAGAAGGTAATTATTGCCTCTGCCTTCCTGCCAATTGTTGTATTTCTGATTGGTCTCTGTCCCCACCCACATTGAGACATTCTTTTCACTGTCTGGAAACTGTCACAACTTGAGTGATGAGTCAATGACATAGTACACTCTTTGATTTTCTGATTCAAGACTGAGTTGTAGTTTTAATATAAATTCTCTGGGCAGGCTGTATGAAGGATGTTTACAGTTCACAGGAGGTTTCATTTTATTGGAAGATATCTCATTTACTTGAAGATCTTTGGTGTTCTGAATTTCCTATAAGTAGAGAAGCTGTTTTACCTAGTATCAGAGAAAATGAGCAAGTTTATGTCTGCAACAATGTACTATATAAACTCAAATTTATCCTCTATTATTTCATATACATTTAAAAATTGTTATAATAACCAATTGAATATTTTACTATTGAATATTTTACCATTTGAAGAATGTTATAGCTTAATAAATTGCAATGCACATTAAAAGTTACCCTCTAGATAGCATTTGTAGTTGGCAAGCTGAAATTCATTTAATCCCAATGTATCTGTTCACTCAGTTACCTTCTGTTTCAATTCATAATTTCCTTTATGGCAGAATATTCCAAATTTCAATGAAGCAACTAAGGTAGCTACAAAAACTTATTAATGATGTTGACCATGATGTAGCAGACTAAGATTTAATGTAGTTTTAATGTAGCTACATTTAACTAAACCAAAAGTGAAATAGATGAACACAGAAAAACCATTTAAGTTTCATTCAGTTCAGCACATTCCTACTATGTGTCACAAATGGTGTTCTGTACCTGTGAGGAGCTTGCAAGGTAATGAAAGAGCAGGCAGATACCTAAGTAAATGAGTTCTACTTAATATGGCAGGTTCCACGATGAGGATGCCAAAATGTTATGAAGATACTAGTAGGAGGCTTCAGTCTGATCAGGAAACATAGGTAGGCTTCCAAGGATCTGACTGCTTCTTTCCATGTCTGCTCCTGTAACTGTGATCCACATTACCATCACTGCTTACGTAGGTCTCTGCAATTGTTTCCTGACTTCTCTGCTTGCTTCCACTCTGGCCCCCATACACAGGCCAACACTAGTTTGTTTGCACTTTGTGTTTGTCTTTGTGTGTGTTTAATATAACTCATTATCTTGTAACACCCCAATTAAAGCCCAGTTAAATAAATAAATAAAAACACTAATTAAACACGAGTGGTTTCCCATAAATTTAAGAGTAAAATCCAGACTCCCTTCTGTGGCAAATATGGTCATGATATATCTGGCTTCTGCGTTCTTTTTATACCATTCTCCCCACAGTCCCTGTCCCCAGTCATCCTGACGTTACCTGTGTGCCTCGCTCACAGCAGGCTTGTTCTTCTGCCTCCAGGCTTTTCACTCACCATTTTGTCTGTCAGGGAAATTCTTCCTGAGTGTTCACTTGGCCTATGTCAATCTCAGCTCAAGCTTCACCTTCTAGAAATGTATTCACTGGTCAGTTTCTCTCCTCCCCAGTCTCTTCCCTTAGCCTCTTACCTTCTTTTATTATTATCTGAATTTATTTGCTATTTTTTGTTTGTTTATCTTCTGTTTCCCTACTCCAGAATGTTGGTTCCATGACAGTCAAAATGCTGTCTGCCTTGTTCTCTACTTCATCCCAAGCCCCTGGCACATCGCAACTGCTTAATACATATTTGTTGAATGAATGACTAAATAAAAAGTGTCTGAGCTTAGTTGGGATGGATGAGAAAGACTTAGCCAGTCTAAGGAACAGTGGAAAGGTAAGAGAATAGCATGAACAAAAATACAGAAGTACAAATTAATATGAGATGTGCAGGGAAACTATATGCAGCTCACTGTTGCTAGACGATAAAGTGACAGTAGAGAGTGGTGGTAGATGTGGCTGGTGATTAAGTCTGGAATTAGCTCACAGAGGCCATTGTGTGTCATGACCTTGGACTTTATGGTTTATAGAGAGGGAAACTGTCAGATTTTGATTTAGATCAGTTTTTCTCAAACATTTTTAATCAAGACCCATAAGAAACACATTTTACAGTATCTGTAAACTGAGACCCATCCCCAGATTTTAGAGACCATCACATTTGTTAGCTCATGGCCTCCTTCCTCCATCTTCAAAGTCAGCCGCAGTGTGTTCAGTGTTTCTCACATCCCAGCTCTCTGAACAGCCCTTCTGCCAACTTCATCCGCTTTTAAGGGCTGTGAGTAGATTGGGCCCACTTGGATAATCCAGGATAATCTCCCCATCTCAAGGTCCTTAACTGTAATCACATTTCCGAAGTCCCTTTGTCATGTAATATAATATATTCACAAATTCTGGGGATTAGGGCATGGACATCTTTGGGTGGCCATTATTCAGCCTACCACTCAGGTATTTATAGGGAGTTTTCTGTAGTTCGTGTTCTTTTCCCCCCTCTTCTCTCCCTCCATCATTCCTTTTCTCAATAAACATTTATTGAGTATTTTTTCCCAATGCTAAGTGCTGGCATAAGGAGTGAACAAGACAGTCAGTGTTACTGCTCTCATGATGGCTTAAATTCTAGAGAACAAAAGCAGATGACAAATAAGTAAACAAAGTAGTTACAGATATTACTTTGAAGGCAATAAATAAGGTGATGAGTAGAAAGTAGCTGGGCAAGACTGCTTTGGCCAGATGGTCAGGGAGGAGCTATCTGAGGAAGTGACACATGATCTGAGCTCTGAAGATCTTACTTAGTAAGTCAGTCACTAAGAACCAGGGGAAGAGTTAGATTCTAGCAGAGGAAATGGAGAGTTCAGAGTCAGCATGGGGGCAGCAAAAGGCATGTCTTGCACAAGGAGCAGTCTGAAAGCCAATGTAACTGGAGCAGAGTGAGCAAGGCAAAAAGTACAGCAAATGGTGGTGACAAGACGGGAGATGTGAGGCCATGGCAATGGCTGAGAATTCAAGTATGGTGAGGATTTTGTTTTTTTTCTAATAATGGACTTGTTGAAGGGTTTTAAATGGTGGTATGAAGCAGGTAACATGAGCTGACATATTTTTACAAGGTAGTCAGGTACATGAAAATGACTTAGAAAAGGGTGAGGATGGATTGGAGACACACATTAAGGGGCTACTGTACTTATCTATGGAAAGAAGGACAGTGGTTTGGACTAGGGTGAGGACAGTAGAAATGAAGAGAACTGGATTGATCTGTAATATATTTTGGAGGTAAGATTGACTTAGTGATGGCTTGTAGAAGATGAGAAAAAGGGTGAAATCAAGGATGACTTCTAGGTTTTTTGAGCAACCTGGGGGACAAAAATGTTTTTCACCAAGATCTTAAAGACTGGGGAAAGGACCAGTTTAGAGAAAGGAGACCAAGGATTCCAACTAAACGTGTTAATATTGAGCAGTCTATTAAACATGCGAGAGGTGATGGCAAGGATACAGACATAAGAGACTGGTGCTCAGAGAGATGTTGGAGTGAATATGTGCATCTGAGAGTCATTCATACAGATCATATCTAGAGCCGGATGACCAGAAGAGATCCCCAGGAGAAAGTAGAAATAGAGAAAAAAATAATGTCTTGAGGGTGCTGAAGTCTCCAAGAGGTAAAAGTCAGAAGGAGGAAGAGCAAAGACTACTGAAAAGATGTGAATATTATTTGGAGCTTGCCTTAATGATGAAGGCTAGAGGAATCAAAGGAGCATGTGGGCACTTTCTTAGGAGACCATTAGAGCAGGACTTGTCTTTCAAGCACTTAACATCATGCTTGGCACCTGAAAAGTAGCCACTGCTATTGAATGAATAAGTGATGCTTTCTGAGGCCATCCAATCCTTTCTGGCACATTTCTGGATATGGGAATAAGAGGTGAACATTTGCTTTCACTGGTTCCCAGTGACCCGACATCACAGAACGTCCCAGCTTACTTTATGAATTTTTGACACACCTTTAGTAGAATTTAGAGAATTTGCTAATGACGAGTACTGCCATTACTTAGGTTAAATTTGGCAATAACCAGAAATCAGTAGCTTGCTTTTTCTAAACCATTCAAGATAAAAATGTGTAGTAAAATCAATAAGTAATAAATAAATAAGCAAAAAAAACAAGTAAAATTGAACTTCTATAGAAACTCAAACAACCCCTTTAGAACTCTTGGAATTCCTTTCTCACTGCCAAAGAAATCCATGTTTTACTAAGTTCCTGGGAGGGAGGTGGGGGTAATAAGCCACTTTTTACACTCCTGTTACTTCCAGAAGCACATACCTAGATCAGAAATTCTCCTTAGTCTGGGATTTAACACTACTGCGTTTGATTGTGAAGGTGCAACCTTGTTTTCAAGAAAAAAAAAATTATATGGGACTGACGCTTAGAAGTTTGAGTAACTTGCCCCAAATCTCAAGATACCTAAACCCAGTTCTGAAAGACTGCAGAGGCCATATCTTCACCCTTTGCTGATCTCAAGAAACTTAAGTGACGTGGGCATGATAGGTAGCTAAGAATTTCAATTTACTAGTTTTAAAGGTATATTTCATTTTTAAAAATATAACAAATAAAATCTTAACAATATGGAGAAATTAAAGAGCCTCTTTAAGTCCTTCTGAATGATGTTAGTACTGGTATTTTCTAAATTTTTTAACATGAATGAATTTGTCTTCTTTTACAAGGAAAAATACAGAGGTGTATTCCCAAGCTGACTGTTCATGGCACACGCAGTTAGAGAGTGCTCATTTGCACTTATTCTTCTTATCATGTTGCTGTTGGTTGAAGCAAAAATAGGTAAGACATTTCTGTAATCTAATCTGTGGAAGGATTTGTGATTTGAATTCTCAGTTACAGATGAAATACGCATTTGTGGTAAATCTTCTGGTAGTTGGTGTGTTGTATTCAATCTTCCGTCATGTAAGTGGGTAAGTCTAGTTCTGTGTCTGTAGCTAACATGTATTTTGTTTAATTTATACCAATGATTAGTGTAAGAGACATATCATTTCCTCTTACGAAAATGGCTAGTAACCAAGCTAGGCATTATGAATGAATGTTTTACTGAAATTATAGTTCATTATAACAGAGGGTATTCTTTGGTAAATTCAGCTATACTAAAAAAATAATGGTTGGCATTTTTTTAGCTTTTTATACTGTGAGTTTATTTTTTACTTTACAGCTCGTTAGGATCAATGAATACCAAAAAAGTAGAAAGTAAACACAAAAATAGGAGAGAGATACTTAGTTTAGTTCTGAAAATAAAAATGAGAACTTTTTATTTCAAATGAAATTTCAATATTTCCTTTACTTGATTTAAAGAACTTCTTTACCAATTCCTGTTATGGTAGTTGATCAAAAAAATCTTCAAATTATCAATAAAAAGACTTTTGGTGGAGGTTTTCTATCATACCTGACAATTCAGGATGAATCTGTTATGTTGAGGTTCTTTCATCAGCAGTTACTGAATACCATGAAAAGCTGTTCATTTCTGAACAGTTGTATTTATCTATACAAAAAGCTTCTAGAGAGTAAGAATGACCTCTCTTTTATGTAAGTTTAATGTGGTATCTGGCAAATAGTAAATAATATGAAGAACTCTTTTGAAAAGGATACATTCATATAATTTAATATTAGCTATAATAGTAAAGGTTCATCTAGCACAAGGTCTTACATCTTTTTTTAATTGAGGTATATACAATAAAATATACAAATTTTAGTGTACAGTGCAATGAATTCTGACATGTGTATACTCTCATGTAACCATCACCCAGATTAAGATATTGAACATTCTCACTATCTTTAATTTTTTCTGCCTTTACTTATTTCACCCATCCCTTCCAATTCCCTACCCTATGGCAACCACCAGTTTTTCTCTGTCCATGATTCTCTTTCTGTTTTGTTTGTTTATTTGTTTTATTTTTCCGATTCCACATATAAGTGGAGTCATGTGGTATTTGTCTTTCTCTATCTGAATTATTTCACTTAGCATAATACTCTCCAGATCCATCCATATTGTTGCAAATGGCAAGATTTCATTCTTTTTTATGGCTGAGTAATACTCCATTATATATATATACCACCACATCTTCTTTATCTATTCTTCTATTAATGGACACTTAAGTTGCTTCATATTTTGGCTATTGTATGATGTTACAATAAACATAAGAGTGCATATATCTTTTAGAATTAGTGATTTTGTTTTCTTCAGGTTAGACCAGAAGTGAGTGAAATTACTGGGTGATATGTTAAACTATTTTTGGTTTTTTGAAAAACCTCCATACTGCTTTCTATAGTGGCTGGACCAATTCATATTCCCACAGTGTTCCTCACCAATATTTCTTATGTCTTGTCTTATTGATGGTAGCCACTCTGACTGTTCTGAAGTGATATCTCATAATGGTTTTGATTTTCATTTCCCTGATGATTAGTGATATTGAGCATCTTTTCATGTGTCTGTTGGTCATCTGTATGTCTTCTTGGAAAAATGTCTATTCAGGTCTTCTGCCCATTATTTAATCAGATTATCATTATTATTATTATTATTTTGGTTTTGAGTTGTATAAGTTCTTTATGTATTTTGGGCTATTAACTCCTTATTGGACATGTCATTTATAAATATAGTCTCCCATTCAGTATGTTGCCTTTTCATTTTGTTGATGGTTTCCTTTGCTGTGCAGAAGCTTTTTAGTTTGATGTAGCTCCACTTGTTTATTTTTGTACCTATCCTGGGGCCTTCAATCTTGAAGGAATACCAAAATATAGCATAGTAAGACCTAATTTCCATCCTTGAAGCCAACCACAAACACACCAGACCCCCTTGCATATTCTCCTTTTTTTACAAAGTAATGTTTTAGATTACACGTACTTTATACCACTAATATAGCAAGAGAAGGAATTATTCTTAAATCTTCCCTTTAAAGTTTGTAATAGCCTCTTTTTTTCTTTTTGGTGTATTAAGTAAACCTTATAAATAATAATTGCGGGTGGAAACCAGTGTGATTTATTCTGAGAAGTACTTTTAGTAGTCTGGTGAATAATTTGCATATAAGAGAGATTGATTTTTCCTGGAACTATGTTCCTTAGTGTTCCTCCAACCCTTTTCTCACCACTTCTTATTTATAGTTCTGGTCATAGTATTACTGTTCTGAGAAGGATGCATACTTTAATTCAAAAACAGTTAGACTTTAATATGTTTGCCTTCTGTTCTCACTGTGCAGAACAATGTAGGTTATTTATATTTCCATGATTTCATGGGATTAATTTTGCTCTGCTTTGGGGAATTACACAAACCCTTCATTTTTAACTGGATTTCTTATGTGTGATTTTTGTCTCATTGCAGATGTGTGCAAGAGAGGAGATGTAACTGTGAAGCCTTCCCATGTAATTTCACTTGGATCAACTGTGAATATTTCATGCTCTTTGAAGCCCAAACAAGGCTGTTCACAGTATTCTAGTTTTAACAGGTTAATCCTCTACAAGTTTGACAGAAGAATCAATTTTCTACATGGTCACTTCCTCAGTTCTCAAATCACAGGACTTCCCCTGGGTACAACTCTGTTTGTCTGCAAATTGGCCTGTAGCAATAGTGACGAGATTCGAGTATGTGGGGCTGAGATCTCAGTTGGTGGTGAGCATTTCATTATGAATTGTTAAAACTGGTGATCTTTTGGTATATGTCATGTGTTAAGCAGAAATCCAAATATAGGACAGTGTTCTTTCTTCTTCCACACATGGATATGTTTATCTTGATAGCAACATGAGCACCTCAGTGTGAGAAATCCAGAAATCAATAGAATTGGGGTCTTATTTGGTGATCTCTCTGTCCCTCACTCTTCCTCTCATTTCTTTTCTCCCTTACTCCTTCTCCCTCTCCCTCTGTCCTCTTTTTGGCCCTTAAGACCACTTACTTGTCTGGATTCAAATGGCAAGAAAATGGATCTCTGCAGCTGAGTCTTTGTGCCTTCTTGAGTACAAGAATTGTTCAAAGGTACTAAAAAGAAGAAAGAGATGTCTCTTTCAAACTTATGCAGCCCAGCTGAGTACCCAAGGATGAGAGCTTCTTCCCTAACATAGTGCACAAAAAATAATTCTCCCATCCACATTCTCTTCTGACCACTGGTTTTACTTAGCAGAGGTTAAAAGAGAACTATAATCATACTTATTATCTTTTCCTGGGTTTTCTAGAAAGCACTTGAGGTAAAACTGACATGCTAATACTTCATGTGTGGAGGGGAGTTGTATAGTGCCAGGCAAGAAAGAGTGAGGGAGTGAGCCAGCAAAGGAGACACAAGGTGGTTAAGTACTGAGCTGGCCACAGCATCAACAGAAAATACATCTGGTTGCTTGGTCACAAGAGGCATCCCCAAAAACACCATATGGAAATACAGTGACGGGGAAAAAAGAAGAATTTAACTGTCTGCCATTGGTCAAAGTCTACTCACAGAGCATCAACTTCCCCACACTGCTGGCTGGCACTGCTGGTCCCTCCAGGCAGGGGCTAGGGGTAGGTATTAAGATCTCAGAGTTGGAATCTGCAGCATGGGCCACAGTGCACAGGTGAGCCAGCAGCACACCTGACTGCAGCTTGCAGCCTGCCACCTGTTGCCTTAAAGGCCCGGCCAGGCAAGCCAGTGAGCATGCATGGGCCCTGAGTGACCCCAAGGCACTCTTTGCTTCCAAGATTTCAGGGAAGCGCTGGAGTGGCAGGCAAGAGACATTGGGGAGAGTAGGAGGAATTGCTACAGCAAGTTGGCTGGCCAGGATGCAAGGACAGTTATATAGAGCTCAATGAGACTCTTTTCAAGAAAGATGGAAACCTCTTCCTCTGACCTGTAAGAATATGGTTGGTCCCAGAGAGTCTCCCTGTCAGGCCACTAGAAGCATTAAGCAGAACACCAAGCAAATGGGCAAGCAAACCACTGTGGGGTAAAGAGACATAAACTAGTTCCAGTGCTCCTTTTCCAGCTCAGTCCCTCCTGTTCATACCATTTAAAGGCTATGTACTATCAGCTCTGACAGCTGCTGGTGTCATCAAAGGAACATGGGCTTTGAAGCCCAGCCCCGCCGCTATCCATGTACCCTTAGGCAATTTCAATTCTCTGAGCCTCAGTTTCCTCATCTGTCTTATGAAGATATTACCAACATAAGATGGTTGTAGCGATTAGATGATGCCTTGTATTCAAAGGCTCAATCTGATCCCAGGCCCAGAGGAGGCAGACAGTGCCAGGGTTGCAGTTCCTTCCGGTTTCACTCTTTCTTCATGTGTGCAGCATGTTGGGTAGCTGAGCATGTTTCCCTTAAAAGAAAGTACAAGCACTGATTATAGACAAGATGAAAATTTTTCCAAAGAACAACATCGGTCCTCACCTCCCTTGTCCTCAGAACACCTAAATATTTCACCCAGATTTTCCGTCTTACCAGCCCAATATTACATATTTGTATAAGGCATTACCAGTACTTTGATGTCAGTTCCAGATGTCCACAGCGCTGCCTACATTTCTACCAATAGCCCTGGAAGTGAATATTCCTGCACACGTCCTAAGCCATTCCATTCCATTTCCTGTCGTTGCCTGAAAACATCAGAGTGCTTCATCCCCTTTTTATTTTGTGACTTTTCTATCCAGAGAATGCAAATGCATTTGTGACAGTTTGCAGCACCGGAAGATCTAGGGAGATGGTGAAGCATATCAGTCATGGTGCAGCTTGGATGGTGCTACTGGAATGTTGTTTGTGCTCAACTGGTAACCACACCATCGAATGGCTGCTCTTTGAGCAAGTTTAGCACCTTTGAGGTGAAGGACTGACTGGAAGCAATACCTTTTTCTGAGTATGGCTAGTCATTCCAAGGAAAGACACAGTGAATTTTGGATTTGCCCAGTGTAGTAAGCCTAATCTTGCTTTGTAAGGGAGTAAGAAGCCCATTTTCTTTTTTGTGGTAAGTGGTAGTGCATAGTGACATTGCATATCCTGAGAGGACCTGTCATAAAGTTGGCTAGTTTTTCAGAACTTGGAATGAGTAAATAGCCTTTAAAGCCTTTTCTTTCCATCCCCTTCCTGGGCTTGGGCCTCTTGGCTGCCAAGAGCTCATCCAGGTTGTATGGTAACTAGGCAGTTGGTGCTTTAGCTTAACCTCATAGGATTGATTCACAAACCACTTAGAAAATCAAGGCAATAAATGAAAGACAATTAATTCTTGCTTGGTTGTTTTCAGTGTATGCTTAGCTGTTGATATTTCTGAAAGCTGGTTTTCTAAGATTTTTTATTCTTCATAATAAGTAGGGCTTTTAAAAACAATAACAATCATAATGCTCGTGACAACTTCTTATATTGTATGTATTTTGATTTTTAGACATTGATTTCTGTCTTTTCCTTGGCATCACCTATTATACTTTTGTATTGAGGAGAATAAGGTCTGGTTTCCCCTGGGACAGTCTCTGTCAAAACCAAGTCCTGGGCTTAGCAGACACCTTGATTTCATGGTCCAAGGAACTCAGATTGAGACAGTTGACTTGATTTGTTGGTAAAAGCTGTGGTCTTTAAAATAAGAGTCTCTGCAAAGTTCTAGGAGTAATGGTGAGAGAGAACTAACTTTTATGCCTCACTTTTCTTTTGCTTGTCAGCAGACCCCTTCAAACGTTAAGCTAAAGATGGTGGTTTGAATGTGTTTACTTTTCTTCCCCCTGATATAAAGCCAAGATGTAGTCAAGAAAGTTTTTTAAAGGCACAAACCCTGAAGGACAGAAAGAATGGGAGAATGGGAGGGGAGACATAGCAACAAACTTTTGCACGCTGGAAAGCAGATGGACCAGTCACAACTGGCGTAGCCTAGAGTCAGCAATGAGAAAAGTGAAGATGTGCCTGACTGAATGCAGTAGCTTCCATCCCAGAAAGACTCTGAAGTTGATAGTACCATATACTTCCAGAAGGGAGGGTAGAAGTGAGGCTAAAGATGAGAAATTTGATTGAAAATCTGTTTCAAAACAGGTACTCAGATTCCCTTTCCCAATTACATGTAGCAAGAGAGTTGGTCCGCTACTCTGGCATAGGACTGGAGGCTTTGTATCAGAGGGTCACTGAACTAGTTTCGACCACTTCAGTTGAGATTGTTCATAACATACTGAAAAACAGGTGGGTTAAAGGAACATTTGCAAACAGCATCCTTCTGCCCTGTACCATTCTCTAGGCAGATTAGAAAATCTTTTTTTCTGGGAAATCTGACAAGACTAAAAGGAAATACCTAAAATTACTGACAATGGAGATTCCCAAGAAAACCTAGCCAGATCACCCTGGAGTGAAACTCAGGGTCAGCAAATACCCCTCCACTGACATACACACACAGTGCTCCAATCTATAATCTAGTGTCTCACTCCTGTATGTGAGTAAAAATACAAGATCTGAGGAAAACATCTAATCTGAGAGACAGAATCAAAACAAACATAGGTAACAAAGCAAATTAGCGAAGTGGGAGAAATAGAGTAGGTTCATGGAGAAGAAATGCTAAAAATCAAAAACCATGCTTGATGCCCTTAGAGAATTAAGAGAAAATATTGCATACCAAACAAAACTAGGAAGCTAAGAAAAAGGAAATATTCATGAAATAGAAAACATGTCCCCCTGAAATAAGCAGAAATGAAAAACTCAGTAGGAGGGTAGATATGTAAACTGAGGAACTTTTCCCATCATAGAAGAATGAAAAACCAGGAGTTTAAAAATACAGGTAATAAAATTCAAAACTGGAAGAAGCTCCAACCTATGAAAAATAGGAATTTTTAGAAAGAAAGAAAAAAAAAACAGGTGGGAATCACCAGAGAAATAATTCAAGAATGTTTCTTAAACTAAAGGACAAAAGTTCCCAGAATGTTCAAACTCTTTGAGAATCCAAACGAATGAAAGAAAATAGACCATCATTAAGCATATCTTTGTAAAAATTCAGAATAGTGGGGACAAAGAGAAGATTCTGCAATCTTTTGAAGAGAAGGAACATCACCTACATGTGGATCTCAGTATCAGAGTAGAATGAAATGAATGAGTAGCAGTATTTTCTCTTACCTCCATTAAACTGAGAGGCTAACTTTGGGTTTTTCTTTGACTATAAGATGGTTTAATTTACAAATGCACATCTTATAGTAGAAGGAGCCATGCCTGTCTTGTATAACTTTGTATTTCCATAGTTAGCATTGTGCCTAACCCATGGAAGGTACTCAGTATCTATGTACATAAATAATTCCTGTACAGATGTTCATAAGGCACTACAAGTGATGCTGCAAATTATATTTAGGCATACCTCCCAAAAGGACATGACTGGGGCCAATGAGTATAAGTGTCGTGGGAGCAGTATCAGGTTGATGAAGAAAAAGAGCCCCTAATTTTTAAAGATTCTAATATTTAAATGGGCTTCACTCTAAAAACATTAAACTCATTTTCACCAGGGAGAATGATAAAACATGGTGGTAAAAGGCTTGGACTCAAGTCAGCCACACCTGGACTGGAGCCCTGATTCTTCCATTTCACAGTTTCGTAATATTGTGCAAAATTGCAAAATACTTAACGTTTAAGTCTTAGTTTCCTCTTTGATAAAAGGAGGATAATAATAGTGTGTGCTTGGTGTAGCTGTTACGATGTCTAATTGAGAAAAACCACATATAAAACACTGACATAGAAGTTGGCATATAGTAAGTGTTGGAACCATTTTCACTGTTGTTACTATCATCACTGGAAGAAGTTCTTGCTTCAGAGGCAAATTTGACCTTGGTGGACATTAAATAGCTCCTGGCTCATCTGGCTTTGGGAGACATAGCAGTATTGTTATCTTGTTGGCAGATAATAACAATGTGACTGAAATATAACCTGTGCTATTTAAAATGTGAGGTTTTGCTCTTTCTTTTTAAAGTTGTTCCAGAACAGCCTCAAAACTTATCTTGTATACAGAAGGGAGAACGTGGGACCATGACCTGCACCTGGGACAGAGGACAAGACACCCACCTATATACTGCATATACTTTACAGTAAGTGAGGAGCTATTTTTGAGGCTGTTTTGTAGGTATTCTCTTAGGTAGTATTTAGAAATATCTAACAGTTCTATTTTTACCAGAGAGAACGAGCAATAGACACATTCTAGATAATTAGATACTTTAACAAAAAATTCTAGTGTTCATCAGTTCAAACTGGCTTCATTGATCTAGAATGTGAGAACAGATGTCCTGGGTCTGAGATCTAACTCAAGAGTTCTCTTCAGGGCATCCAAGGTGTGCATTATGAACATTTTCCCCTTCTCTAGTATAGTTAAACTGACTGCATTATATCCCTTCCCTGTTTTGTAGTTGCAGACTCTTTGAGTCATAAGATATAAACAGACTCTTCGTTGTTGTAAGAGAGGGGAAATATGGTCCTATTTATGACCATAGAATAGAGCTACTCCTATAGTGTATCCCCTAGTAATAAGACTGATCTTTAAAAAAGTGTAGAATTTTAAATATTTGAACATTTGTGCTTTTGTTCTAAAAGGATAAAGTAGCATATAAAGTATCTTGCTAAATACAACTGTCTTTTATTTACAGGTTAAATGGACCAAACAATTTAACTTGGCAGAAGCAATGTAATGATCGTTACTGTGACCATTTGGACCTTGGAATCAACATAACCCCTGAATCACTGGAATCCAGTTACACAGCCGAGGTTACTGCTACCAATAGTCTTGGAAGTGCTTCTTCATTTCTATCTACATTCACATTTTTGGACATAGGTACATTTTATTTCACTTTTGTAGGTGTCATTCATGGGCACATGAATGTTATTTTTAAATCACTCATATGTTCTGTATGTGATTGTTGTAAAAGGAACAGCAGTTGGTGGAAAGTGGCAATAGGCATAGCAAAGAATACATGTTACTTCGATGCAAATAAAAGGGCGCATGACCCTCGAGCTCTTATACAGACGGTTGAGCAAATGGGAAATTCAACATTATTCTTTTTGAGAAATAAGAGCCCCTGACTTCAGTCTCATGAAGGCACCAGCTGCCAGTGACACCATCCGACTGAGGAGAGGGTCCTGTGAGGTTATTTAGGAAGCTCAGTGTAAGCACTTCTTGGCAGAGGTAGGGGGTCCCTTTACCCCCATGGTTATACCACTCTTCTGAGATAGGCTACATGTGGGTCTGCTGACTAGAGAAGTCAGGTGAGAACTATAAAGTATATCAAGATAGAAATGCATCTTGCTCTGAGAGCACACTTCCTTCCACACCTCTCATTGGCTTGGTAGCTGGAGTGAGCGAATCCTTGCATATTTCTGAGCAAATATAATTGGCCCAGTTGAATCAGAGGCCAATCTCAGGCATCCACAAGTTGTAAGCTTCCCAGGTAGGACTGGGCTTCTGGCCTGCCTTAAAATCCAGCTCACACTGTGTCTTTCTTCTCCTTTCCCACAGCACCTCTTTGCACACATTCTGCTATTAGTCTGAACATAAGTATTACTTAGGTTTTCCTCTCACACTTCTCCCCATCCTAGCTTCCATCTCTTCATTGACTATTCATCTGCACCCTTCTTTTCCTCTTACCCTTTTCTTCTATTCCTCTGTTCCTATGTCCCTTTCCTCTGACTTGTCCTACCAACATTTCTTCTTCTGAGGTGACCACCACTCGCCAACTCTGCCTTCTCAGCCACTGAAACTCTCAGGTTTGGCACATTGGTTTTCTTTAAATCATTGGGTTAAATAGAATCAGCACTATCACTAATGTTGGTGGTAGTTTATTTGGTAAAAATGAGGATAGATTAAGGGGAATTATTTTAATGATTTCAAAGTGAATTAAACCTTTTCGTCTTTCTAAAAGCCAGGGAGTTCTCTCTTGTTTATTTCATCAAATCTGTACATCTTAGAAATTTTTGAATTTGTTCAACTCTTTATAGCTCATATCAATACAGAGGGCAATTTCCAGTCGTGCAGCCTGAATCACACTTTTTGTTTGTCCTCATTGCTAGTGAGACCTCTTCCTCCATGGGACATCAGAATCAGATTTGTAAATGCTTCTGTGAGCAGATGTACTCTTCAGTGGAGAGATGAGGGGCTGGTGCGGCTTAATCGACTGAGATACCGGCCCAACAACAGCAGGTCCTGGAATACGGTAATGGTCTTTAGAGTGAAGGGAAAAAAATGGAGGGGCTCTCAGTATTACTGCACAGACCTCTGTCCTTTCATACCACCAAAATACAGAGTTTAACAATATTTAGCCCAAAAGTACCCACTTGAAATATATCAGGAAGTCATATACATATACACCTTTGCTTACTAAAAAATATCTTGAATTTTTATCACTGATTCTGAATTTTTTTGAGCCACAGACTTTTTAAACCACTGTTAATTTTCTACAGTTTATTTCTATCAAAGGACTTATTTCATCTTGTTATGCTCCCTCCTTCCCCATTACCACTTTTTAGTAATTTTTTAACATATTGGAAAGAGAAATATTAGGGAATGTCTGAAGAGGCTTATATGGCATTGAATATTCCAAAGATAAAGCCCCACACTTTGATATATTAGGCATCAAAATTTTTTTATTAAGGTATTATTGATATACACTCTTAAGAAGGTTTCACATGAAAAAACAATGTGGTTATTACATTTGCCCATATTATCGTGTCCCCCCCATACCCCATTGTAGTCACTGTCCATCAGTGTAGTAAGATGCCATAAAGTCCCTATTTGTCTTCTCTGAGCTACACTGTCTTCCCCCATGACCGACCACACACACACCATGTGCACCAATCACGATACCCCACAATCCCCTTCTCCCTCCCTCACCCCTCCCCTTTGGTAACTACTAGTCCCTCTTTGGAGTCTGTAACTCTGCTGCTATTTTGTTCCTTCAGTTTTGCTTTATTGTTACACTCCACAATGAAGGAAATCATTTGGTACTTGTCTTTCTCCCCCTGGCTTATTTCACTGAGCATAATACCCTCTAGCTCCATCCATGTTGTAGGCATCAAATTTTTTATAATTAGAAGTTTAGGATTGTAATTCCTTCCAGCATTTTTATAAAACATAGTGGCTTATAATAATAACAAAGGATCAGTTCCATGTGTAACTGACACTCGAGAGAGGTATACTAATGAAATTTTCTATGTAATTAAAGCTTTCTTTTTGAAGCCAGTTTTATGTCTGTGTAAAACATTCATCACATTCTAATTATGAGTAAATAAAAAATAATCCCTAGAGCAGAGATTTCTCCAAGGCCTTTTTGAAAACTGTTATAGTTTTCATCCTTTATTCATTTTTTATCTGGTTTCAGGATTTCCCCTTGGATTCTATATGGATGGATTCTTAGTCTCAGGAGGGGATATTTTTCTGTTTCTGTTTTTAGTGAGAGGCTATTTCAGATTCACATCATGTGTATCTAGGAACCCATCATTGATATTTCTTCTCATTGAATGATATATCTGGAAAAATAAAAAAGGGTTATATGGTCTAATTTCTCATCTTTATGAGAAAATTATTTAATTTAGTATTAATAGGCACCTTTAAAATTTTTGTCTGATTCAAGGTTAATGCTACAAATGCCAAAGGAAGACATGATTTTCTGGATCTGAAGCCATTTACAGAATATGAATTTCAGATTTCCTCTAAGCTGCATCTTCATAAAGGTAGTTGGAGTGATTGGAGTGAACCACTGAGAGCACAAACACCAGAAGAAGGTACATGTGAAAAAAAGGGGGTGGGGCTGAGTTGAGTGAGTAGAAAGACAGGAGGGAAAGAGGAAGATAAATAATTTCCTTGGAATAGAATCTCTAAAGTACTGATACTGAATCAAGTATGAGTACATTCACTAACAATTTTGACATTAACTTAAGAATGGCAGCTGTGGAGGGAAATATGTTTATATTGCTAGGAAATTTTTAACATTAGGTAAGTTTACTCCTGTTTCCTACATGTTGGTTATAAGCTTATGCCTCAGTAAAGTTTGGTTGTAACTCTGCTTATAACTCTTATTTTTATTTAAATCACTATCTCAGTAAGTCTTATTCCACAAAGCTATAACCAGTAATTCCTTTGTAGTTAAATCTGGATACATTTTACTTTTGACATTCAATGGAAATTAATATGGCTCTATACACCATAGTAAAACTTGGAAAGAAGGTAGACTCTAGAGATATAATATTTTAAAATAAAATTTAGTATCCAGCAATCTTCTCTCCTCCAAATATTATAGCACTGCCCTTCTTCAAGCCTTTAATATTCACTGCTCAGACAAGTGCCCCCAGACTGCCCATAGCTATAAAAAGGGTATCAAATATATCTTTTTAGTCTGATGGACTTTTCTTTTTGATAATTATTAAGGGGTATGTAAGCAGCTTCTTATGGTTATGTACTTGTGGATGGTTCTGAATTGAACAAAGGAAGCTGACTTATCCATTTCCTGTGCAATTTTATGGAAGTGTAATCAAATATTGAAGCAAAAATGCTTATGTAGCTTTATGCCAATATTAACAAATCTTTGGAGACTCAAGAAATAGCCATCTGAATATTAGTTTTCAAAAACACTCAATAAGTGATAGAGTATACAGCTCTTCATAATCTTTGTAAATTTGGCTCAGAGGAATAATTACTGACATATAATCCATTGCTTTATTATCTGGAAATTTTGAAGTATTGATGTAAAAAAATCTAAATGCTTATTTGTGATAATTATGGATATGTATGTATGTAAATTAGCCTCATAATTAAGTTACATCATTCTCTGTGAGCTAGTCATGGTTTTTGGTAACTGATGACACTTAACAATGATACCCAATGACTTTCAAGGACCTAAAGATCCTATTAATAAAGCATAATACCTAACGTATAAATTATAGAATAATTGTTTAGCCTGTCTTTTTTTAATTGCATTGCTCAGTTTTGAACAGTAATGTTTAAATATGAATATCCATTCAGCAAATTATAATTTATTCCCTCTCATTTTATGATAAAAATCTCTTAAAATGTTGAGCCACTTGTTCTCTGCTTAAATGTTTGTCATTTTTATAATCTAGAGCTTATTCTTATTATCTTTCTTTGCACATAGCCAAGGTAATACATTTTTCAAAAATACCTCATGAATTAGATTTTGTTTATATGTAATACAGATAAAATTCATGAAAATGGGCCATATTTTATGTCCAATTCCAAGGTAGTAAATAGGCTGAGAAATTTTTAAGTTATGTTATATCCCATTAGGCTAACCTATAAACTAGGAAAACTCTGGGCTTATGAATTCACTCCCATTTCATAGTGACATGTTTAGAGATGTGTGAAAAAGGTTTTTTTTTAAGTGTTTACCTGCTGAATTAAAAACACTTCAAGGTAGGATGATAACTTTCTCATATCCTGTAAAATTAACCCACCATCATAACAATGAGTGCAGCAACTTGTTATGGTTATGAACTGGTTATGAATTGAACAAAGGAAGCTGTCTTATTCAGAGTAATTGCAGGTATTCATAAAGAAAGGAACCCATACTCTGAGATATCCCACATTTACAAGATCTACTGGCTTCCTTTCAGTGTCTGAATTTCCATTTTTTGTGTTTGATCTTTCTGTGGGTTGACGTAAGGTCTCTTTTCTGTTACTCTGAGCTCTGTGGTTTTCACCTCTTACTGCTGTTTCTGTCATCAGTTTCTTTATGAAACACCAACTGATGTAAACCTAAAAGGTGTGAATTTTTTTTAACACTTCTTCCTTTTCACCCTTTAAATGTGTACTCATATGTAACTTGGCATTTAAAAAAATTACTAGTAAGCTTTTTTTTTGGTTGCTCCCTAAAACTGTGAATGATCTTATGATAGAGCTCTTTTCTTTGCAGCCTTTCTTACTCAAAACTGAGAGCAATGTGTTGACTCCCGGTGGATTGGGCACAGTTATTTACATCATGTCAGCAGAGAATGAGGGCTTTATGTACTCCATATGGCCTTTCCTACGTCATTAAATACAAGTCCTGTTGTGGTCCTCCATGAAAAACACTTTTTAAAGGACCAGCAAGTAAGGGGTAGAGAGAAAGGAAACCACTTTCTTGTTCTTAGGAGGACAGCCCCACAATTGGTGTCCATGAGATGCAGGCCCGATACTGGGAATCAAGCAAGTGTATTTTGCTTCTAGTGGGAAAACATTCTTGAGTTCGGGCTGCATGGTGTCCAGACATGCCTGAGAATATGTCCAGGTGTTGGGGGAAGGTGATTCCCTCACCACTTAGAACACTCCCAGGAGAAGAATCCAAAATAAAGATGAACAGCAAGCAGTTCCTCAGAGCTGTAGTATCAATTAGGTGTTTCTGTCTGTTCATTTGCCATTATTTAAAGTCTTATTTACATGTTTTGGTCTTGCTAAACTCTACTGTGGACAATTAATAAAGGAAGCACTGTATGCTCATACTTGCAGCAGAGCAGTAAAGAAGTAGTCCTCGCCCATCATTGTAATGGCATGGGTGATGGTACCCCCAAAGAGAGAGAAAATGCAGGGTTACCCACAGCAGCCATCTCTTGTCACAGTGAGAAGCTAGGCAATTTATTCGTTCATTTGTAGTTTTTGAATATTGCTAAAATAGATTAAGTGTGAACAATTAAATACTACAGATCATTTTACCATCCTGGTTAGCAAGCATTTCATAACAGTCTAGCTTAGGGATCAGCAAACATTTTCTGTCAAGGTCCAGATAGTAAATATTTTTAGCTTTGCAGACCATATAATCTTTTGTTACAACTACTTAAATTTGCTATTGAGGTATATAAGCAGCCACTGACAATATGCAAGTACATAGACAAAGCTGTCCAATTAAACTTTATTATGGCCACTAAAATTTGAACTTTGTGTAATTGTCACACTAAAGATGATTCTTTTGATTTGTTTTCAACTATTTAAAAATGTAAAAACCATTATTAGTTCTCAAGCTGTACAAAAACAGGGAGCAGGGCCATAGTCTGCTGACCCCTAAACTAACTAAACTTTAGAATATCATACTTGTGTCCTTTTGCCTGAGCCTTGAGGAAATGAGAATGGATGGTTCTTGCCCTTCTAAAGGGACTTACATGCAAACGCTTTGTTTTGAAGGAAAATTTATGTTTGAGATCCAATGACAATCACTACTCTCCTTTCTTCTTTTGCTCTCCTCTAAGTCCAACACATACCCTGGAAGAAATAAATGCCTGGGCTCAATTATTTGTCAACATGGTGATCACCCCCAAGAGGGAGAATAGGGAGAAATGCTTTTTGTGAAGCCTTCAAACAGAAACCAGTGAAATAAATATGCTTCTCCAGAAGGTCTATGAGGAATATGTGTGTGTATCAGGAAATATGCCAAGTACTGAGGCACAACCAGTCAGATCCTCAGACTCAAGGGCTTATAGTCTACTTTGGAACATCAGGGAAAGATTCCTAGAGATGACACCAAGAAGAAATTCAAAGTCCAGAGGGAATCTTGTGGCCTTCCTCCATCTGGAATGAAAGGCCTCCAAGGTGACTGAAGTAGGAGAAGGGACCTATTTCCTCCATGAATACTTGGTTCTTTTGAATGCTGTGAAATCTCATGTTCCTGGTTTTTATTCTCCCTGGTTGGCCAATTCTTCTTGGTCACTTTTGTAAGCCATTTTCCTCCACCTCAATCTCTCTGTGCCCCCTCCTTTACCTAGCTGACTTTTTCCAGTGCCATGACTCTAAAACTTGGTAGGTAGGTAGGTAGGTAGGTAGGTAGATAGACTAATAGATATATAGTATATAGTTTCAGTCTCAGACTTTCTCCAGAACTCTGGATTTGTGTTCCAATCTCCTCTTCCATCTCTTCACTTAGAAACCAACAGACATTTCTAAATTCCATATAGGCTAGACAAAAAGTTTTTTCTCCAAAGCAAAATGCTTGCAAAATACTTCTACTTCAATCTTTTCTCAGTAAATGACATCATGGTCTTCCCCATTACTCAAGTCAAAAATGGAGAAATTATCATTAAATTTTCCTTTTCTCTCCTTCCCCCATACCAACAATTGACTCTGTCATAAGTATATGTAAACTCTGTTCATTCCTTCCACTGTTTGTTTTTTAAAGGTGTATAATTCTTTTATTTATTTATTTTTTATTTATTTTATTTAGTATCATTAATATACAATCAGATGATCAACATTATGGTTACTAGATTCCCCCTATTATCAAGTCCCCACCACATACCCCATTACAGTCACTGTCCATCAGCACAGTAAGATGCTAGAGTCACTACTTGTCTTCTCTGTGCTATACTGCCTTTCCTGTGCACCCCCCACATTATGTGTGTTAATCATAATGCCCCTTATTCCCCTCTCCCTCCCTTCCCACCTGCCTTTCCCAGTACCTTTCCCTTTGGTAACTGTTTACCAATATATTCTTACAACTGTCCTGCATCCCCAGAGGTAAACCACTGTCCTGGGTTGTATGTTTATCATCCTCATAATTTTCTCATGCTTTCATAATGTATGTATCTCTAAACTATGACTAGTTTTCTTGTTTTTGAACTTAACCAAAATTTTATACTCTCTGTAATCTTTTGCACCTCACTATTTTTCTATTAGCACTCTAATACAGTACCTCCACTGATACTAGTATGGATGAAACATCCCCAATTCTACCAAGAAACAAGCTCTTTATTTGTGAACTGGGTTAGGATTACCATTGTGTTTCTTAAAAAAAGAATGACCATTA